TGATAGATGATAGATGGATGGATGATAGATGGATGGATGGATGGATGATAGATGATGGATGGATGGATGGATGGTGGATGATAGATGATAGATGATAGATGATAGATGGATGGATGATAGATGATAGATGATAGATGATAGATGGATGGATGATAGATGGATAGATGATGGATGGATGGATGGATGGATGATAGATGATGAATGATGGATGGATGGATGGATGATAGATGATGGATGATGGATGGATGGATGGATGGATGGATGAGATAGATGGATAGATGATAGATGGATGGATGGATGGATGGATGGATGGATGATAGATGATAGATGATAGACGATAGATGGATGGATGATAGATGGATGGATGATAGATGCATGGATGATAGATGATAGATGATAGATGGATGGATGATAGATGGATAGATGATGGATGGATGGATGGATGGATGATAGATGATAGACGATAGATGGATGGATGATAGATGGATGGATGGATGGATGGATGGTAAATGATAGATGATAGATGGATAGATGATAGATGGATGGATGGATGGATGGATGGTAAATGATAGATGATAGATGGATAGATGATAGATGGATGGATGGATGGATGGATGGTAAATGATAGATGATAGATGGATAGATGATAGATGGATGGATGGATGGATGGATGGTAAATGATAGATGATAGATGGATAGATGATAGATGGATGGATGGATGGATGGATGGTAAATGATAGATGATAGATGGATAGATGATAGATGGATGGATGGATGGATGGATGGTAAATGATAGATGATAGATGGATAGATGATAGATGGATGGATGGATGGATGGATGGTAAATGATAGATGATAGATGGATAGATGATAGATGGATGGATGGATGGATGGATGGTAAATGATAGATGATAGATGGATAGATGATAGATGGATGGATGGATGGATGGATGGTAAATGATAGATGATAGATGGATAGATGATAGATGGATGGATGGATGGATGGATGGATGGAGGGATGGATGGATGGATGATAGATGGATGGATGATGGATGGATGGATGATGGATGGATGGATTTGGAGATATAATTAATTTATATTTAAATTTGCATAAATATAATGCATATTCATTTATTTATGCAAATATGTTTTATTAAGTATTAAGAACAAATAACTTAACTTTAATTATTAATAATTAATCATTGTATTTTTTTTTTTGTAATGTCATATCCTTTTAAGTCAGAAATATGTGCTTATTCATGCGCTCACATATATCGTCACATCAGTTTCTGCCTGTAAATTTAGATTTAATCCTCACCTTTGACATAAGACCAAATCCATCAAACTTAGAATCAAATCTGATTATTTGTGCATTTATAAATGAGGCCTCAGATCTAAACAAACCAAGAGCAAAACAGCTGTGATTGTTCATTACAGAGGGGAAGGAAACATGAAAGCAACATCTGACCACTATCTCACAGGTACAAGAGCTCTGAAAAAAAAGCACATGACAATAGAGCGCATTGTTTTAATGAGAAACGTGACACCTTTGTTCTGGAAAGTTTTCTTGATGAAGAACCAAAACCCTGAAAGGAGCAAAGGGGAAGAGGGCTCACCTGGCACCATCCCGCTGACGCCGCTAACAGACCGCAGTGAGCTGGAGGTTAACAGGTACTGCTTTTTTATCATTTAACAAATGTCCCCCTCACTTTTATTTATGCTTTTACTCTGTTCAGTAATAATAGTACACATAATTGCTCTCTGCCTCCTGCCCTCTCTCTCTGCGGTGGCACTGCAGTAAAACTCCTCTTTACTGTTTTATTTTCTCATTTAAATTTCTTTCAGCAATAACTCGACCCCCCAGGCCTCTCTTTGCTTTCTCTGCACACTTATAAAACTCAAGGCAACTGCACTTTGCACATTGAGAGTACAAGCCACGATCCTGAGTGTTTATGAGCACAGATCAGCACAAAAATATTCACAATTCATGACATTTGCCAAGTTCAGTACACAAATAAATAAGCTTGTAGCTTCTATATCATTGTATCACATGTACTCTGAGTAGTAATATATATATATATGTGTATGTGTGTGTGTGTGCGTGTGTGTGTGTGTGTGTGTGTGCGTGCGGACGTGCGTGCGTGCGTGTGTATACAATATATTTTTCTAATTCAAAAGACTTTAAGATATAAGATCAAATCTATTTTGGATAAATGCTAAATATTATTTAAAAAATATGTTTTGGGCATAAATTTATTACATATCTAATTATATTTAGATTTAAAATAAAGAAATGTAGTAATGTTTAAAATACCATTTTAAATACATTTTTAAATAAATTTCACAAATTTCTGTTGTAAACAGCACAGCTTAAGGAAATATATTTTTCAAATTGAATCTGAGATGAGATATAAGATACAAGATAATATCAGATACAAGACTAAAAATAAACATTTAACATCATTTAACATACACATCTTGTAAAATAAATACATACATACATAGGCCTACATATTTGTTCCTCGCTTCTTCCATGGGATTAAATAAGAAATTCTATGAAAAGATAGAATTCAGGATAAAAGATGATATCTTAAAATGTATTTTGTGGGTGTGTATATATAACTCAGTCCTTATTTGCAATCTGTCCCTGCATAAAGAAAAACATAGATAGAAAAGTTTTAAAAGAGCTGAAACACTTCACAACACTCTTGAACATCCACAGGGTTTGATATGCTGGACATCTGCTCTCTGTAGGAGGAGGCTGTGTACTTTCAGAAGTGATTCTGGGTTAAAACACAAAACGACCTCAAATATATAACACAATCACTTTTCCACTCTCGCTGATAGTTAAGTAAACTCTCTTGTCGCAGCTCTGAGTCATTATGCCATTATCATTGACTGCAGTCAAGACATTGCCTCATTATGTAGGCAGGTCAGTCTAACAAAACAGTGCTGTTTGTGTGCTGTGAGTCTCCATTACTTCTGATTTAGGATGCTGTATTTTGTTCATATATACAGTATATATATTTATTTATGCACTAAATGAAGCATGCCTACATTTAAGTGTGAATAAGCATATATTTATGTTGACATATATGGTATTATTAATATTAATTAATAATATTAATATTTTTTCATTTATTATATTTATATGATATATTTTCAGTATATGTTGGAATTTTTGATCATTTTTTTGTTTTAAATGTAATTCTAATTATATTGTCCAAAATGAATAAAAAAATTATATATATATATATTCCTTAATAATATATTTCCTTAAGCTGTATTGTTTACAACCTAAAAATGTTTTCAAAAAGCATTTATTAGCATATATGTGTGTGTGTGTGTGTGTGTGTGTGTGTGTGTTGTGTGTGTGTGCGTGTGTGTGTGTGTGTGTGTGTGTGCGTGTGTGTGTGCGTGTGTGTGTATGTATAGTCATTCTGATGTGAATATGGCACTCCCCACTTTAGTCTGATTAGGAACAATAAAAAAAAATTAAACTGGTAAGTTGTGATCACTAAAAAAAAACATGTTCCTCATTGAGCCTGAATTTATCTTTTTTAAGCCTGGAAGTGCTTTCACCGAAACCGATTCTGCCAGTGATTTCAGAGCCAGCGGCAGGAACAATATCGTTCTGTTTGTCCCTGTTGAATAAGCATTACTCTTCCTGCTACAGCGCTACCCAATCAAAACACGGGCCAGTGACGTCTTCCCGACCCTGATGATATCACCTCCTTACAGAGCCTGATTGGCTTTTATAGATGTTTGCTTTCTGCGACTGCACCAGACGTTTCTTTTATAGACAACAGTCGTCTATGACGTCATAGCTTACGTGAACTCAGGATGATAACTGAGCTTTCTGGATGGAGAGAAGGTTCAGGAAATTGGAAAAGGAGTGTAAAATGTATAATGCGTAATTAAAGCCGATAATTAGGAATGATTAAATAAATGTGCAGCGAGAGAGAGATCCAAAGTCTCAGACCACCGCAGCAACACATGCGTAAACAAGTCTGAATGCACACACACACACACACACACTGACGTGTTCAAAGAAAATGCATGATCCCACATCCTACTTGCAAAATGGATCGAAAATCCCAGCCAAATTCAAGTTGATTGAACTCCGACAGTTTGTTTTTTACCAAACGAGCACAAAAATGGCTGCTTACCATTGTCCGTCAGAGCGAAACAAAGACAGTCTGGTACTGATAGAGTCTCTTGCCTCCGGCGGCGCTGATCATCGGCTTCAGTCTAAACAAATCAAACAAACAAATGAGATATTGCCTGGAATGACATTGATCTGAGAGATAAAAATATCAAGAAACACTTGAGTTATATAAAGAAACTAGAGTTCACACAGAGTTCTGTCCGTCTACACTATACTGGTCAAGCATTTGGAAAGAGTCTCTAATGCTGAATTTATTTGATTATAAAAATACAGTAAAAACTGAAAAAAATTGGTAAATATTATTACAATTTAAAATGACAGTTTTCTCTGTGAATCTCTGTTAAACTGTAATTTATTCCTGAGATCAAAGCTGTATTTTCAGCATCATTCCTCCAGTCTTCAGTGTCACATGATCTTCAGAAATCAGTATAATATGCTGATCTGCTGCTCGAGAAACATTTCTGATTATTATCAATGCTGAAAACAGCTTTGTGGAATCTGTGCTATATTACCATCCAAAAGTTTTGGTTAAGAAAGCTTTTAAATAAAAAAAAATAAATACAACTTTTATTCAGGAAAGATGCATTCAATTGATCAAGTGACAGTGAAGATATTTATAATGTTACAAAAGATTTCTATTTCAGATAAATGCTGTTCTTTTGAACTTTCTGTTCATCTGTGAATCCTGAAAAATAAAATGCATCACGGTTTCCACAAAAATATTGGGCAGCACGACTCTTTTCAACATTGATAATAATCAGAAATGTTTCCTAAATGTAAGTCCTAATGCCACTAACCTGGTTAGTTCTTCCTCAGAAGCTCTCTCAGGCAAAGCGTCTTGCGATTTTGAAAACTTTGACTTGTAGTAATGATCAGAAAGTCTGCGAAGGGTCCGTGGGCGTCCCGTCAGAGGGTGAGAACTGGCTTGTGCAGATTCCTGGCAGAAACCATGCACACACGAGAAGGATATTTCACATTAGATTAGTGAGCAGTGTCCCTAAAGCAATGTTTTCTAGCATAAACACCCACACATACAGTAGAGACACTTACAGCTTAACATTCACAAGCCAGTTTCCTCCAGCTGTGTGACCCCTGCGCACAAAAGGTCAACGACCTGTCCTTGTGCTCACCTGCTATTTCAGTTTCCGTCAACATCATGATGTAATTGGCCCACTGACCCCCAAATTAACCTTTAACCCGTGTTGCCTGACATAACGGAACCATCACCTGAAATCCCATGACCTTCTTTAGCCAGAAAGAGATGTTTCTATTTTAGGAGGCCAAGATGTTTTCTTGATACTTGAATAGTTGACCAAAAAAATGTAATTCTGTTTATTAACCCTCATGTCGTATCAGTTATGTGGAACACAAAAGCAGGTATTTTGAAGAATGTTCATGCTGCACTTTTCCTTATAATGTGCAATGCAATTTTGAATGTGTGCATCTGACTATTTAAAAGGCACTGAGGATAAGAACAGTTTTACAAAAATAAAATGCAATTCACTTTCACTTCAATGTGTCCCTCGCATAAGGCTACGGGCTTCAGAAGATTAAATAACATTTGTTATGATTTTTCACATTCTCAAAGTGTTTGCAGGATTTATTTTTGAAACAATTTCCATTTAGAAATCGCTTGTGCTTTCAAAAAGAATGACAAAGAAACACTGAACATTAAATTTAGCAGTAGAAAGGCTGAAATTGTATTTTCTTTATAAAATATACTATTTTATTTTTATTGTTTTATTTGATGTAGTGTAGTTCAAATAAAGTACAAATAAAATTCTATGCATTTCACAAAACCCAAACTTTGCGACAAATAGAAAGTGGTGTTCGGAACCCAAAAAAAAGTATGGGAAAAAAACGAACAAAACGTTTTTGACTAAGTACTGCAATTTATTATATAGATTATTAGAAAGAAATGGAGCAAATAAATACGCAGGATCTTATTTACAACATCTCTGAATTGGATTTAATAACTGAATGAAGTTTGTGATTCACTGGTGGACGTCTAATAAGCGACTTGTGGATCAAATGACAAAATGGAGCAAGAGGACAATCCGAGCAATTTCAGGGTCTTGCTGATAATAATCCGAGCAGCGTCAGCTTTCCGGCATGACTTTCAGCAGAGCACGACAAACAAAGCTTTCTTTGAACAGAGTTAGAGAGCAATATCTCAGTCTTGGTTTTTATAATCAGGGCCTGCTCTCAACTTGACGAAGCTTTGAAAATTATTACTTAACTAACTGACTGACTGACTAACTAACTAACTAACTCAATAAATAAATGAAAATATAAAATAATAATAATAATATTAATAATAATAATAATGGGAAATATATCAAATCTAAAACATTTTTTTTAAATTTAAAGAAATAAAGATAAAATGTAAAAAAGTAAAAAAAAATAGTTAAATAAATAAATAAATAAAAATGAATAAATAAATATAAAAAGAAAACATAAAATAATAATAATAATAATAAACATAATGGGAAATATATCAAATATAAAAAGTTTTTTAAAAGTTAAAGAAGTTCAAAAAAGTAAAAAAGAAAAATTTGTTAAATAAATAGATAAATAAATAAATAAAAATGAAAGTAAATACATAAATAGAAAACGTAAAAAAAAGTATTTAAAATATAAAAAATGTAAAAGTAATGTAAAAAATGATTAAAAAAGAATGTAAAAAAATAAATACATTCATGATGATAATCCGAGCAGCACCAGCTTTCCAGCGTGACAAACAAAGCTATTTTTTAAACAGAGCTCAGTCTCCATTATTATATTTTTTAATGGCCTTTTAAATGAAGAGGACAAAAATAAGCAGACGTCGGGGATCCCGAATGCTCATTCTTTGCTGTGTTTTTTAAATAGTAGTGGCCACTGCGTTGTTGTGCACTCAGCTGCCTCTCTCAGAAAACACCTCCACGCAGGAGGGCGGAACGGATGGATTATGGGATTTATCCAGGAGTCATTTCTTACCGAGTAACAGGACTCCGTGGCAGGCGGACAGACAAAATTGCAGAGAGGTAGACGTTAAACGCTGGAAAATTAGGGAGGGGTAACACTATCTCCCCACTTACAAATGTCCGATAATCCGGTACATGTGCAGGCCACTGAGGAGATACTCTCCCTTTTAAGCCCTCTTGTCAGTCCCAGCAGATCTTACAGCGTTTGGCATGCAACACAAAGTCACATGCAATTAAGTTCACAATCCTGACAAAGCCTCTCTGGGGACGAGCGAACCACAAAACTGGGAAACTCCTATTTGTTTGGTTAGAAGCGAGCAATGCAAGCCACAGTGATGCAGCAGAAGTGAGTATTAGCCGTTTTAATCCAGGCTTTAAGCGCTGGCCCTTCTTACATATGCAAGTGGAGGATAAAATCACACATAGCTGATGGCTGACTGCATCTCTTCATTAATCAAACGTCTCTGACGTCAATCGCATGGAGTAATACCATCCAGCAAAGAGAAAGCATCAATCTGCAATCATTAAATAGCCATGCTTATATAATGATTCACGATACTCATCTGTAATAACGTATGATAACACTTCTGCATGCTCGGATACAGATTATTATGGTGTGGGATGAAACTAAATAGATGTCCGGCGTCCCGTGAGGCTTATTTTTATGCAAATGCTTGTAAAATAAGCCTTGCATATTCACTGCGGTTACGGTTTGCTTTGAATATTGTGCGTTTTTGTGAGCGTCGGCGGCTGGAAGACTGCATTTGTTTTCACAGGTTTTCGTTTTAGTATAGACTCTGACATGTAGAATGTTAATGAATTTACAGCACTTAAACTGGAAGCACTTTTATGCATGCACAGACATACGAATCCGAAAATCGGTCGGAACTGACATTCAGCTGAAAGTAGCACACTCGTTGATTTATAGATGACAGAGAATCTCGGAGTGCCAGATGTACTTATGAATTAAATTTTGACAGGACTAATGAAAGTTAAGCCGTTTCATAATTTTTAAACATGTAAGCAATGTCGCTTTAAAAGTAATTTCGTGAATTCAGTTTTCAACAAACCGTCATTTGTACTATAATTTGTTTTCATTTTAGAGGCTGTCGGTACATTGTCTATGCAAACATATGAAAATATGCTAGCATTATACATTTATGTTCATGGATGCCGTGCACATGCACTCGGCTAAGCAGACAAGGCTTTGAAAATTATTATTTGAAAATTAAACAAACAAACAAATAAATAAAATTAGAAAAATGAAAAAAATGAACAAAACATTATGTAATAATTAAAAACAAAATGTAAAAAAAAAAATTTAAGTTAATAAATAAATAAATGTTAAAATGTTAAATAAATTCAGTAAAAACAAGGAATTGTATGAATTCTATTTTGCATAAACCATTACTTGTACTATAAATTATTTTTGTTTTGGATACTGTCAGTTTATTGTCTATGCAACCATATGAAAATATATGCTATCACCTGGTTATTGCCATTATTTATTATTTTAAATAAATAAATAAAATTTGAAATTTTTTTTTTTTTTTTACAAATAAACAAAAAAATAATGTAATAATAAAAAAAATTGTAAATGCATTAAAACAAACTGTCAAAAACAAAACAAAAGTTAAGCAAATAAATAAACAAATGTTAAAATGTTAAATAAATACAGTAAAAACTGATTTTTTTTTTAATTCTATTTTGCATAAACCATTACTTGTACAATAAATTATTTTTGTTTTGGATACTGTCAGTATATTGTCTATGAAACCATAGGAAAATATATGCTATCACCTGGTTATTGCCATTATTTATTATTTTAAATAAATAAATAAATAAAGCAAACATGAATACAAAAGAAAGAAAGAAAGAAAGAAAGAAAGACCTTTTGTTTATTCTCTTTTTGGCTTTATGCAGTTTTTTGATCTTGCACTCACGTGCTAAAAAAACACAAGCACCGACGACACTGCAGCTAGCCTATATTTATACTGTCATCAATTCTAAATGATCTTCACTTTTTTAGTTTTTGCAGCATGATTTAATTCGCCTGCCACCTAAGAGTCCAAAATACAAGTACACACTGGAATATTCTCCGGTGTCCTCCTCAAAATGAAAAGTGACTAAACGGCGAAAAACAACAGCTCCTGTCCGGCCCGAAGGGAAAGTCTGTCTCTATTTTGTTTTCCGTGAGCCAGGTGAAGAAAGAGGGGTAAATGGGAGTCATAATTTCCCGCCGGCGACAGCGGAGTGTGTCATGGGTGATGACAGCGGTCATTGCATCCTCAAGAAACCCGAAAGCACACGAGGAGAGCTGGAGCTAGAGCTGTTCAGACGTGTGATGAACGATGAACAGAAGCAGGATATCTGGTCAGTGTATGTCCACCTCATTCATTACTGTGTGACAGGTCCACACTAATCTAAATAAAGCCTGCATGTTTATACCTTCATTCAGATGTCTTAGCAGTTACAAGTAACGCGAGTCACGTAATCAGATTACTTTTTTCAAGTTACTTTGTTTTCCCATTTATTGACTGACAGCTCTCCTGTCCCCATATTGGGAGAAATCGGAAGTGCAGAGGAGTTGTGTGCGCTGTGTGAACATGTAGTTCTAGACTAAATGTGAATGTGCATTAATTCATCCCACTCACAAAAAACAGATTTAGTATTCATCAAAATGAATTAAAACAGTGAACTGCAAGCTCAGAATATGACGCAAACCTGCAATAATTAAATATGTTAAATAACACAAATGTATCTAATCCCATTGTCTTTGCTGCTGACCTTTGATGATCCAGTTTGACTTTAAATAAACTAACAATTGTGCTTCATTGTTTTTTTTATTGCTGAAGAGTGTTTCTTCTCCTGCGTTCTACTGTACAGACGTGAATTTACTTTTCCTTCAGCCTGAGGTTTATTCATTACACTTTTTGTTGTGAAAGGGCTTTTACATTTGCTATAAATATAA